GTTCACAAAACACTTAACCTTCCTGAATATGTTATTGCAATTGATTTTTTTTTCAAACATGACTTTAAATTTCACATTATATCAGTTTATTTATCTTGTGATAACCTTCAACTTAGACTTTTTATTTAGAACAACATTATACAATGGATTCAAGAAGCAAATACTAATAATATACAACCAATTGTTATGAGTAACTTTAATGTTTCTGACAACCTACAATCATCATCTATCAAACTCAAACTAATTTATTTTCTTTAACACAACAATATGTATAACTTAGCAAAACACACACAAGTTTTGTCTCCTACCTGGCATAGTAGCAGATATAGCAGTCAAATTGACTATATCTGGGCCAATTGCTCTATTATCTGATATCTAACTTCCTATTACACAGATGATGCCAACCAAAGTACACTTAGTAATCATAATATACTTATATCATTTTGGGAATTTCTTTATACAATTACTAATAAACAACAATCAGTAACCAAAACTAAGCATAGAATATTTGATTATAAACAAATATACCAAGACCTTTGGCAAAACTTCTCTGACCAAATTACATCTAATCTTAAAAACAACAATGCCTCTCTTGGAACTAATACTATAGAATCACTTGAAGCCTCTTGGCACAAAATTTAAACTAGTATTATTTTAGCTACTCTTCAACATATTTTAAATAAAAAATTCACTATCATAACTTTCAACACATCTTTTCTTTCAAGGCATTGAAATTACACTTAGGACTTAAAAAACTAGACAATATTATTAGATAAGTCAAAGCTTCAATTCAGAACCACACTTCTGTGTCTGTACTTTACAACCTAAACATTTACCAACTTAACTCTTTTTATCATTTCAATATATCAGAACTGCCTCAGGATCCTAACCTCTTATCTGACTGGATATCTGTAACCAACACTGAATAGAAAACACTTTACAATGCTAGAAACTTAGAAAATATTAAAAATATAAGAGAACAAATTAATGACAATATAGCTGTAAGATACACTAAACTTCAAAATAGTTCAACATTAATAATTAATAGTATACTTAATTGACACAATGCTCCTGTTAAGTTTAACAATATTAAAAAATCTAATAATGTTATTACTGAACTATTACTTATCAAACAGCATATTCAACAACATTTTGATAATTAGACAGCCTCTCAAAACATCCAATCACAATTATTTAACACAATGTGGCAACAAAAATACCAACCTAAATTTAATATTGATTCTATATAGTATTAACTAGCACTTAAAAAATTTTTCTCAATAGAAGTTCTTAAAGTTATTAATCAACTTTCTAACAACAAAGCATGTAGACTATTAGGCATCAGTTATGAGATGCTCAAACATGCTGAAACAGCATTTCTTGATACAATTACAGCTTTTTTTAACTGCTGTCTTACATCTGATCAAATTTCAAATCAATAAAAAGAAGAAAGAATTTTTCTTATTTCTAAAAAATCTATCTTTGATAGCAATTTAACTAATATCAGACCTATTAGTCTACTTAAATATTTTAAAAAACTTTATACAAAACTTCTTACCAATCAGCTTAATTATATCTTTACTCATCATAAAATCCTATCACCTTTTAACTACATAGCTTTATTTAGTAACAACACAGCTATCTCTATACATATACTTAACAATGTTATTGAAGAAGCTTTTTGTAACTCAAAACAACTCTGGCTTTTATCTCAAGATATGAGTAAAGCCTATGATTCTGTAGACCTTACACTCTTTACCAAATCTTTAACATGCTTACAAATGCCACCTAATCTTATTAATATTCTTAGTAACTTGCTCACTAATTAACATAATCAGGTTATTACAAATTTAAGCCTTACTAATTTCTACAATGTCAAAAATGGCATTGACCAAGAAGAAACTATTACTTTACTATTTTGAAGAATTTACTATAATCCTCTTATAACCAAAATAGTTTCAGACTTTTTAGGATACACTTTGACTACAAGGTGAAATATTAGTCTGCTTTGACCAAAGTTTTAATAACTTCAAACCTCTGTATTTGTACTAGCATACAAAGAAGAATTACAATCAGCTACAGCTACCTCTTTCTACCATATAGCTAATATTCAAATTAAACCAACTAAATCAATTCTCACTTCAAACATACCATCTACAATTCCTATTTACTTTTTTAATTTATCACTTACACCAATTCCTGCCAACCAACTATTTAAATTTCTAAGATGTTGATTCACTCTTAATAATTCACATACTAAACAAAACCAACTAATTTATGAGTCAATCCAACTTATCAACATTACAGACACCAAAAAAATTATTAACAAACAAGCCATATACATTACTAATACTGTAATTATTCTTACTATTGAATACAGACTATACAATATTATTCTTAAACATTCTATTTGTAACAAACTCTTATCCAAATATCTTATTATAATTAAACACAAAGCTAAACTCTTTTGTACAAGCTCTAACAGCACTATGCTAAATCCTCATATATACAATGTATATAATATTTAAAACATCTAACTACAACATCATATATCTTGCTTTTAACAAAGAATTGACAACTCAGAGATTCTTGGCATTTCTACTAAAATTAAATTACAGCAACTTCAAAACAACCTCTGGTCTGCTACCAATATTCTTTAGCATAGCCAACTGCTTATTGATGGACTTAACAAATTTACACTTAATTTTAAATCATACAACTCCTACAATATTTTGGCATTTCAATTTTAGCAAACTCCAATGTTTTGTGGCCCAACACTGTTCACAATGACTACCAATTATTAGAACCAATACTTAGTTAACATTTCAAATATCATACTTTTAGAAAACAACTTCACAAAAACAACATACTCTATCTAGAACAATTATGTACTGCAGAAAACAACACATTACTCCAATGGTACCACCTTTTACCAAGACTTTATCATCTAATAAAAAGAAGACAACCTTCTTGGTTCATATATCTGGAAGACACAATCCTATCTGATAGAACACATTGCTTAATCTTTCCTCACTTTCAACTTCTCAAAGTTAATTCCTTTGTATACAACACTTTACCAATCAAGAAAAACTCAAACCTTGGCTACTTATCTACAATAATGATAATGATAAGATCATTATTAGTAAAATTTACAAATATCTTCCAAACACAAATCAGTTTTTCATATTATATTGGAATACTAATATTGATTTAGAACACAATTACTACTATCTTCTTCTAGAATTAAACTGTATACTATGTACTGAATGCCACCTTAACTCAAACAGAATTAACCAAATATGTATAATTAATATTTCAGCAACTATTTGTACTGCTTTCTAGAAAGAAAAACCTCTAAACTCAAATTCATTGCTAATTACTTAGATTTTATTTATTTAACAGCAATTAAACATCCTTTACAAATTTCTCATAATTATTCTACTATCAATATATCAAATTCAACTATTACAGAAATCTTTAAACCCAACAATTGTTCAAACAAACTTGAAGAAATTTTCTAAAACACTTTATCTTATAAGGAATTTATTTTTTATACAGATAGATCAGTAACTGATATTAGAACTAAACAAAGCTTAATGGGCATTGAATAGGTCCAAGTTAATAATAACAACTAAATGCTTCATAAATTTTTAGCTAAAATCTACCACTAGCCATTAGCTTATAAGGCAGAGCTCTTTTCTATCTTATCAGCAATCTCAATTGTACCTCACAACACAATATTTTAAATTTTGAATAAAGAAATCATGATTACCTATTAAGTAAAATTAGGGTTTAAAATTTTGTAGTTTAATGAATCATGTACAGGATACGAATTCTGTGCAGATTTTATAGTCATATGTAAGATTTTTGAAAAACTGTGATTTGCCTATACCTATTTTGGCTAAATGCTTCTGGAAATTTTTGAGTCCTAGGCTGTTTTCTCTATCTGCTTTTTTTCTTTATTAAGTTCTTCAAAAACTTTATTGCTATTTTTATAATTCTAAAACACCTACTTGTTATCCAAAATCTTTTTGGTCATTCAATAAATTATCTAACTCTCCAGAAACTATATTGCTGTCTTTGAACCTTCAGTCCAAAGGCAGCAAAGTAAGTTCTGGAAAACTAAATAATTTACTGAATGACCAAAAAGATTTCAGATAGCATGTAGGTGTTCTAGAAATTATAAAAATAGTTGTAATAATTAATAATGAATTTTTTTCACTATTTTTGTAACTAGCCAAACTGCTGAGTAGACCATCTAAATAAAAAGTAATACTGTCATACCTGAGTTATATCCCTCCTTTTTTCTAGAGTATTTTTGAGGATATAACTGAGGTGGAGATATAACTAAGATATAATCTAAATTAAGTATATATAGTTACATGATATCGAACCAATCAGAATTTAAATTTTTAAATAAATATACATTATTGAGCAAAAATTGTTGAATAACAGCAATTTGGCAAATAAGTATGTGGCACTTTGCAGCACATGTAGCCAATTATTTGCCAAATTACTGTGTTCGACAATTTGTCCAATAATGGTATTATCTGGCAATTTATGATCATAATTAATAAAGAGTCATTTGTTGAGTTTTATTTTTTGAATATTAGAATAACATAATTATATTATAACACATAAAAAAAATAACAGAAAGATATTTTTTCATGATCATATGAATTTGCTGGATAATATAAATTTATTTAAATAAAAGAAAAATAATACTAATAAATTAAATAGCTATGCAGTAAATATAATTATTATATTATTTAATTTATAAATATCTTTTAAAAATTAAACATTTTATTTAATTGTAGCTAATATATATCTTTATTTATATTATATGTAATTTATTTAATATATATAATAACATATTAATTTTATTGATTTATAAAATATTTGTCAATAGTTGATTGCTTAAGATTAGATTGGTAAAAACTTTCTGCTTTTTTAATAATTTGTTGCAGCAAATAAATATCATTCTCAGTAGCAAATTGTAATTACTCAAGATATTTTTTTGCTACTTCTAATGTCTTTTTTCCCTCATTATATGAAACTAAATCATCTATAATTTCTTCCTCCTCTTTATCATCAGCTTCATTATTTGAATCTTCATCATTAATTAAACCTTGCTCTTTAAGAATATCTTGAACAACGAACTCTTCAGTTGGTATATCCATTATTTGCAAATGCTTATCTACTTCTATATATTCTTTGGCTGATAATTTAATATAATTATATGACATTTCTAATTCTTCTAATAACTGCTCAAGTTCATCGATATCATTATTATTACTTGTATTAGTAGTTAAATTTATCTCTAATGGAAGTATTTTTGTTTTCTTCCAACAGTGAACAATTGTTGACAGCAATACTTGTTTCCAAGTATCAGAAATCATATAAATAGCTACTTTTATATTGATTGGTTCAATTGATTTTTTACTTTCTACTTCATTTATTCATTTTGTTACTAGTAATTTATGATAATTAACTTTGAAATTTTTAATAATGCCAGCATCGCATAGTTGAATAACTGATATAGTATTAGGTAGTAAAAATTCTAATTTAATATTTTGCAATTTAGGGCTTGAATGTGCACTACAATTATCAGCTAAAAGAATTGTAGGCT